CGGGCCCAGGGACCCCGCTCGGCGCGGCCGGAGAGCCCTGCGGAGCCCTCGGGGGAGCGGCTCACCCGCACTCTCCCCCTGAAATCCTCTAATGGTGTCCCGGAGACCTAATGGTGACCGCGGAGCGCTGCCGGCGGCGGCAGCGATGGGGCTCTGTGTGTCACCTGCTGCCCGCCGTGGGCACGGAGGGGCCCGCTGTCCCTCCCTGCAGAGGAACCGCCACCAGGGAGTCTTTAAAGCCTTTTGTTTAAAGTCTCTTTTATTCATAACGGGTAACTGTAAAACAGCGTGCTGAAGCCACAAATTACATTAATCACATGCAATTACAAGCCCAGAAAAATAGTACCCAGAAGTAGTTGGCTACAGGACTGATCACAGAATCACAACATCACAGAATCAATTAGGTTGGTAAAGACCTCTGAAATCATCAGATCCAACCCGTGACCGAACACCACCGTGTCAACTAGACCATGGCACTGAGTGCCACATCCAGTCTTTCCTTAGAAACATCCAGGGATGGTAACTCCACCACCCCTCTGGGCAGCCCATTCCATTAACCTATCTGTGAAGAAATTCCTCCGAATGTCCAACCTAAATCTCTTCAGGTGCAGCTTAAGACTGCTGGTGTCATCTCATTTGTTGCAGGCTGCCTGGCTGAAAAGACTGGGCCATATCTGTCTACAGTCTCCTTTCAGGGAACTGTAGATAGCAGATCACCTCTGTCTCATTTTCTTCAGGCCAAACAACCCCAGCTTCCTCTGCTGTTCCTCATCAAACTTGTGCTCCAGACCCTTCCCCAGCTCCACTGTCCTTCTCTGGACTCGCTCCAGGCCCTCAATGTCCTTCCTGAATTGAGGGGCCCAGAACTGGACACAGGACTCCAGGTGTGGCTTCACCAGTGCTAAGAACAAGAGAAGATGTTTGGCTGTGTCGGTTACTAGGAGCTTTGCCAGCTGCAAATTCCTTTAATTTTATTGCATGAATGAGAGTGGATTTTCACAATACCATGGCATCAATGGTTTCACATGATTCCACAATTCAATGAAGAGATTTACAAGTAATTGTTAGTGTGTAATCTAATGCGCTACCATGATTATTTCCATAACTTTCAATAAGTTGGTTTTTTTTCAGTTTTTTTCAAACTTACAGTATCCTTGTTTTGAACAGGTATATTTCCACACAAGCACCCTGAACAAATCAGAAACATTCACTGGAAATGTGCATGAGAAGATATACAGACGTCTGCAGGTCTGTTGTAACTATACTTTCTTCAGATGGTCTTCATTTGACACAGCTCATGCATGAGAGGCTGGAGAGGTTTTATGATTAATTAGCTAAAATATACAGCTTTGCAGATTTGTATTCAATGCCTTTGATCCAGTCCTGGATGTTATAGGGGATTACATAATTCTGTTTGGGTGGTTTGTGTATCCTTGTTGCCATTCCATCAGGAATTCTGATTTTTCTTAGTGTTATCTCTTTTTTCTTTTTTTTTTTTTTTGACAACCAAAATCAATGCCTCCTTGCTGCCAACTTCAATCTCTCTCTACTATTTTTTTTTTCCAGACATGCAACTGCCACAAGACAGCCAGTAAAATCCCTGCTCTTTAAAATCTCTTACATCTCTCACCTTTGCTTGTGGCTGCTGCAGTGATTTCAGTTACCTCATTCCACAAAGGGGCTTATTGGATTGATTTTTACTCTCTTCAGTGGGAGCAATACCTTGTGTTCTGTTCAACCTATTACATTGTCTTTCCATTGTGGAATAATTGGAAGAAGGTAATAGTGATGCTGCCACCTAAGTATCTTCAAATGTGTTTGTTCATATGTGCCAAGTGCCTTGCTAAATTATAACCTTACATACACATGAACAACTTTCCTGGGTTTACAGGGATAAAAAAGGAACATCAATATGTCATCCAAATCTTTTCCTGGCATTTGTTTTGCAATTTAAGGCCAACCATTTCAGACTGGCACTTAGAGAAAGTTGAAACATCATCTTTTTAATTATATTTGCCATGGAAAAAAGAACAGTGGTCTTACTGTCTCCTTTTTTATATGATGAGAATTTTATGATTTCATAGTGGGCTGAAGAGCTGAAAAGGCTAATGAATCATTACAAAGAACAGTATGAAGTCTTTCTTTAACTTTGACTTAAGGGACAGTTATTATCCATAAATGGCTTTGCAGCTGCTCATTGGGTTAGGTGGAACTGGGAAAGCTGGCAAAACAACATGAACAAATTCAATGAAGGGTGGAAAAGAAGAAAAAGAAGAGGTCCATCTTGGAAACTTTGGTAGAGGTGTAGGAAAACATCCAACAAGAGGAAGAGACCTGCAGTATCAATATGTAGGAGTGAAAGCAAACAGTGAATTACATACAGTTTTACAGAAAAGCATAAAAACAAAGCCCACAGAATTTAAGCCTCTGTGTGAAGGATCTCATAGCTGAGGAAGGAACTAACACAACTATCTTCCACTTCTTTGGCATGACTACTCAGTGCATACTACTTAACTAGGTCATGCCTGGGATATTTTTGGGAATCTTCCTGTTGGAAAATTACACTGAAGGGAATTTTTAAAAGAGCAATTAAAATAATTAAAGGGATGAAGGGATTGATTTATGAGACAAGATCAAAAGATCTGGAATATTAAAACATGTTTCACAAATGCTGTGGAGTTTGGATGACATCACATTGTTAAGATTAGCACAGACTGTTTGGAAAGAGTTTATTCAGTGTGAGATTACGTGAGTATTTTGAAACTAGTAGAAACTGCAGAAATGGGGAAAATAAGGTCGAGGCAGCGGTGTTTGAAAAGCTTTGTGCTGAAAATCAAGGGCAGAAACCATACCCTCTACAGGTAGATTGGACTAGATTAGATAAAAGACACCAACTGATGGGAACAATCTTGCAAAGGCTTTGCACAGTATGCAGTAATCTGCACTAGATGTGTGTTTTACCTATATAACCTTTGTTCTTCACACAGGACCACAGCAGTCTGAAATACCAAGTGTTTCAAGTCTCAAGTTTTTTTAAGCAGGGTGTAATAGCATTTTTAACCACAGGCTCCCTGTTCATCCTCTCTGACTACATACACCTCTGTTCATTGTTCTGAAAATATTTCGCCTACAACTGCCACAATCCAAAGTTCACCTCAGGAATGAGAGTTAAACCCAGCTTCTTCTTCAATCACAGCTAAGAAACATCCTTTAAGAAAAATAATTTTTTTTAGTCACGTTTATAACCAGTTCAGAAATTCATTAACTTCAGGTTCTTCTGAGTCCAGCCTAGGGTTCACTAGGGTTACTTAACAATATTAGACTTTTTTTTCCTGAATGGCTAAAAAGTTTCTAAAGTGATGACACGTTTAAGAAAGGAGTTCACAAAGGTTGTGTTAGCCCTTGTTTAGGAACACTTGTATATCTCATGGCTCTATCACTTGGGAATAATGTGGCCATCTCACAATACTAATTGAAACCTTGAAAATAAACATATCTATGTAAAATGTACATACACATGAATTCTCTCTCCATGCCTGGTTCTCTATGTTCAAAGTGTTGTTAAACATTAATGCAACATAATTAAATAAGCAGAATAACATGTGCAAACACATAACCCCAAGCTAAAGTGCCTGCAAGAAGATAGCACAAAAATGGGAAAAGCAGAAGCTGCAAACAGAAGAGCGGTAGAATTTGGTGCAAACCCCTGGAAATGCTTTCATCATTTTCACTTTTTGTATATCTGGCTCAGTTTTTGCCTAGGAATTTTCTTTTTTTGAACACAGCTCTAGTCCTTAAGTATTTGCTTATTATTGACAGAAGTCATGGCAAATTTTGAGAGGGAGGAGAGGGAAGATAATACTTCATTTTAGAAAAACATTGGTGGGATGGGATGGGAAAGGGTCTTGTAAGTTAATGGTTGTTTTAGAAATTATTTGAGGTGACAATGTGGTATCACAATTGTGACCAAACATGAAATTCACTTTGTGAAACAGCATTATCTTATTATATAAGATTCAATTAATGTTTTCTAGAGGTGAACAACTGTTTAATACAGCTAAGAAAACTAGAACTGATTATTGTAATGAATTTACTCCTTTAATTCTTATTTTACTTTTGAGCCTGAGCATGTTACTGTTTACTAAAACAAATACAGTTTATTCCCCCTCTCTTGGATGCTTTCTATCTAATATGTAGGCTTGCTGGGGCATAACTCTAGAGGCTTAAAAAAAAAAAAAGATAGAAAATTTTCCATTTCAAATTAAATTTAGGCAGTGTGGAGCCTACATCTTATTGGAAATTATGAGAAAAATCTCTAACTTTAAAAACAAGCTTATTGAGTTCAACAGGAAACTTACTCAGGTAGATTACAAGATGAATAAAGACTCTTTTTTCTCCTTTTTTTTTTTTTTTTTTTTTTTTCTTTAATTCTGCAAAGAAAGACCCTGGAGAGTCAAATTATATCATAGGATGTAAGACTTCTCACAGAACAAGAGAACAATTTCAGGAAGTTAGCAAACTCAGATAAGAGTTAATTACTTAAATAAGTGCTACCATAAATTATAGCAGCTATTATACTCCCTGCTTTTTGAGAATCCTCTGCTGGATTTCAGCCAGAGTACTTAAATCCCTTGGGATTTCCTTTGGTCCAGATGGACTTCAGTCTGTTCCCTTTGGGCAGAGGTTCTTTACCATGGAGGTGAGACCTTAAGTCCAGTCATGCCAGGGTCCTGGTCATCCTGCACATTTTCTTCAGGGACATCTTACTTGTGTTAAAACACTCACTAATCAGGTTTCAGTCTTGACAGGAGCTAATTAATTATTTTGCTAACACTGGGAAGTAGTCACAGAAACCACTTACAGACCCTTCCTTACCTTTTCCTTCCCAGCAGCATCCTCTAAGCTTAGCCCACCTTGTACCTCTAATCTGCATAATGGGAGGTTTGGGATTGGGTTTTTTTCCTAACTGCCAAAATGCCACAGACCTGACAGAGTTTCTTTCTGTGTTTTTCTATAGATGTTTGACCATTCAACAGAATTCCCCAGAATCCTAATCAGTATTTCCTCACCCACCCCCAAACTAAATACAAAGAAAGGCTAGATGAACACTGCTTTTCCATCCCAACCACAATCTTGCCTGTGAACTCACCACGTGATGCACAAAATTTGATCAAGCTTTTCCTTAACATCTGTGTCATCTCTCAGAACAATTATATCCTATAAGAAGACCCTCTTGGTGTTTGAAAATAGCCTTTGAGAAACCTTTTTTACAGCTCCTATCAGATCATCTCCCCTATTTGCTGTTTGTCCCCAGTAATCATCTGATCCCATGGGCAGTTCATCAGGTGATTCCCAGTACCACATCAGATGATCATAATCTTGGATAGCAACCAAAGGATTTGCCTGGCTTGTCCACCCTCTATCATGCCTGTCACATTGTCTGGATTCATCTCCTCAGGCATTGATAGGGCCTGCCAGTACTAGTCTTCTTTTATGACCTAAACTATAGAAGTTACATCTGATGGCTGCATCAGCTTGTTAGAATACCTAAACCACTCCCAAGTGGTGACTTACAGAGTACAGGACAGGACCTGTGGCTCACAATCAAAAAGAACATAACAGAAAAAATTGGTTTCTGATGCCTCATTTCCCTGCACACAAAGCAAATGACGGCAAGCTGAGGTGAGGTCAGATAACCAGTGCTAGGGGTGGCTCTGTGTGACACGGTTGGGACTTTAGGACAGCCCTTGTTTCCACCAGCAATACAACAGAATAATTTTTCTATTATATTAAGCTAGTTTCAGTTGTGTGGTTGGGTAATTTTTTTATTTTTTTTTTCTGTTCTCCTTCTTTGGCTTATATTTCCTAATAACTACTGTCACAAAACCAGCAATGCACAAGTTTCCCCAATCCTTTCAAGTTACAGTATCCTGTCTATTGATTATAATTTCCCATGGTATGCAGGTGCCTTCAGGAAGAGGATATCTCCTAGATATCAGAAAACACACTGAATAGGTAAATTCCCTCTTTTTCATCACAGCACTCTGCATCCAGTGGACACCATTCTCCTTTCTTGTGACCAACATTAGCTGCTACAGTTGAAAAAATGTAAATATTATAGTAAACTGTAAACAACCTGATCAGGGTGAAATAATTTCTTTTATACCTTGTAAAACTCTTTATATTAGGGGAAAATGTACGTGAGGTAATAATTTGTAATCCTAGCCTCCCATAACATAAAGAAAATAATATTCTTTCTGATCAAAGTTTTTTTTTTTTTTATGGAGGGAGGGAATTGCTACACAAAGAATGGATGGTAAATTGATTAAAATTAGAGTAGTGAATTCATCCAGACCGCATGAAGGCAGTAGAACAGATGAGCAAAAGACAGGGAGTGTATAAAAAAGCACAATAGAAAAGATGATTTACCTTAACTAGACATCAATAATATGTACTTTATATGCATTTTTTACAGTATTATTTCTCATAAAGTTGTTCCTTTTAGTTACCTTTTCTAATTCTCTTTTGAGTGATGATACCTCAGCATGCATTCTGTGAGAAATGCTGATAAATGATAGTGTGAATTTTATTCTCATATCTGTATTATATACTGGATTCAGGGCTTCTTACATGAAATTCTGTTGCCACTGAAGTCAAAGACAGACTTAATACTACCTTTGAGGGAGCCAGAATGTCAGTATTTGTTTGGTGCACTGCAGACAGGGTTAGACCAATACTCTTTTCTACCTGGTCATTTGACTTCCCAGGCAGAATTGTATGTAACAGCATTCAAAATATAAAACCAAGGAGAATGAACAATGCTTAAATACCTGCTAATAACTCACACTAGCTACAATTACGTCATAAACTTCAGAACTCTATAAGGGGTATTGCTTTATTGATAAGTTCAGCTCTCTTATTGTGAGACGAGGTATTACCATTATGCCTGTCAAGAGTGAGCCTTTTAATTGCAAGTGCAGTATGAATTCCAAGTCAGAAAATGGTCTCTTCTGCAAAGGGATTTCCAGATTAAAGAAAGGTGCCTGTGTAAATAGGCCAAGGTGGCAGAGCAGAACAGCTGTTGCACAGGTTCTCTTGTGCACCCTGCTCATGAAGCTCATCTCCTCTAACTCAGATGTCTACAATCCAGAAGCATGTATTTGATCTGGTTGTCTTGACTGCATTCAGAAACAGCAGAGAGCCAGTTTTAAGATGTAGTTCATCTCATCTGCAGTTTAAGCCAGATCAGATAAAATGTGTTCTGCTTCTATCTGTTGCCTATGAACAGTTCAGGTGAATTCCACATTGTGGAGTGCTTTGAACAGATTGAATTAATTTCCTTCTCTTCAGAGATACTCTCAACTTGAAATAAGAATTGCCGTGTGGGGATGAGATCCATGATTACTTTTTTTCAAGTTTTTTCCTTAGCAGAAACTTTTTCACAAACTTCTCCATTTTCTCTTGTAAATAAGAAACAGCACGTGCTTAGGAAAGAGAGAGGAGTTTTGCAGGGGAAAAAACAATATAGCAAGATAATACTGACCAACTCAGGTGGCCATGATCTCATTTTATTTGCTGTCAGACCATCTTTGAGTTCATTAAATAACACTACAGAAAAAAAGTTGAAAGTTGTGGAAAACTTTGTGGGTTTTCACAGTCAGTTCCTCTAAGTTGTCAGGTAACATCTAATGATAAATTTGTATGTTTTTTAAAGGCAATGTAAATCAAAATGTAGAGTTAAGAATATAATCCCAAGTTATTGATCAATTAGAACTAAAACAGATAAATCAAATTTGGAGAAACAGACAAAAGTCTAGTAGTTAATCCTCCAAAACCTACGTTAAAATACTGATCCCATTAACAAGGTAATACAATAATAATGTATTCCAATCTGTTACCAAAACTTCACCAGAACTCAATAAAATAGTAATTGGCAGTAATTACATCAGTGCCTTTTGGAATTGACATAAAAATTTTCAGCCTAAAACAGCCTGTTGTAAACATCAGAAAACTTATGTGTCCTTGCAACTCAGAAGTTTTGTCAGATGAGATATACTGATTGCAGAAGTTAGTCCCCACTAGTACCAGCTCAGTCTTTACTAAAATGTCTCAGCTGATACTTTGAGAGAAACTAGAGCAGTGGGTCAGGAGTCAGCAGATCAGTGTTTTAATTCTCAAGTTGCTAATGATTATTCCACACAAAAAGTGGTTGTAACAGTACTTTCTTTCTCTGTTACTTTGTACACCCATAAGGACAAAAACTGTTTCAGCTGTGATATTTTAAAAAATAAAAATTCAACAGGTAGCTCTAAATTCATGAATTCTAAATTATTGTGAATAATGTATATGATATGATACACAAATTTTCCATAATGTTTTTTTATTATTTGCCTTGTATTATTATTTGCCTTATATGACCTGAGTGATTCCTTACACAGTCTAATATATTCTCCAGTTATTTAGCAGGTTGGTTTAGATTTCTTTTCTAGTTTTTCTTCTTTACTCTGTTAATTTTAAACTGAAAGACCTTCTGATGAACACTGAATGGCATGTAAAGATATTGTCAATGAACGAGCAGTTGTTCAAAAGATAACATGTAGTTTGCTTAGAGGTTTTGGCTGCAACACTTACATAATGACTATTATTGCCAGCAACATTAACCTCAAATACAAGAAAATCAGAAAAGTAATCAGATAGGAATACTTACCACATGCAAAGTTAAAATGTAGGTGGTTTTATATTTTTCTTCCCAGCATCAAAATTCTGGAAGGTTTTCTTCCCAGCATCAAAATTCTGGAAGGTTTTCTTCAAAGAGGTAAGAGGTGAAAATCTTGAGAGGGAAGATTTTA